GGCCAGACTGGCACCTGAAGATGCCCAAGGTGAAAATGCCCAAGTTCAGCATGCCAGGCTTCAAAGGCGAGGGCCCAGAAGTGGATGTGAACCTGCCCAAGGCTGACATTGACCTATCTGGACCCAAGGTGGACATTGATGTTCCAGATGTGAATATTGAAGGTCCAGATGCGAAACTGAAGGGCCCTAAGTTCAAGATGCCAGAGATAAATATCAAAGCTCCCAAAATCTCCATGCCTGATGTTGACTTGGATTTGAAAGGACCCAAAGTCAAAGGAGATTTTGATGTGTCTGTCCCTAAGATTGAAGGTACTTTCAAAGGCCCAGAAGTAGACCTTAAAGGTCCAGGTGTGGATATTGAAGGCCCTGATGTCAAGCTTAGCGGCCCAAATTTAAAGATGCCATCGCTGGATATATCTGCCCCTAAAGTAACTGTTCCTGATGTTGATTTGCATCTCAAGACACCCAAAATTGGGGTTTCTGGTCCCACGGTAGGTGGTGAACTGGACCTCAAAGGGCCCAAAGTTGATTTAGAAGCCCCAAGCTTGGACGTACACATGGAGAGCCCAGATATCAATGTTGAGGGGCCAGATATTAAAATTCCCAAATTTAAGAAACCCAAGTTTGGATTTGGGGCAAAAAGTCCCAAAGCTGACCTCAAGCCAGCTTCCTTGGATGTGGCTGTTCCCGAGGCAGAACTGAACATCGAGACTCCTGACATCAGTGTTGGTGGCAAGGGCAAGAAAAGTAAGTTTAAAATGCCTAAGATTCACATGAGTGGTCCTAAAATGAAGGCCAAAAAACAGGGATTTGATTTGAATGTTCCTGGGGGTGAAGTTGACGCCAGTCTCAAGACTCCTGACGTAGATGTCAATGTTGTGGGGCCAGATGCCACACTTAAAGTTGATGTGAAATCCCCCAAAACCAAGAAACCTATGTTTGGAAAGATGTACTTTCCCGATGTAGAATTTGACATTAAATCACCTAAATTTAAAGCAGAGGCCCCCCTCCCTAGCCCCAAAATAGAGGGTGAAATCCAGGCACCTGATCTGGATATTTCTTCAGGGATTAATGTGGAAGGTCCTGACCTCAAGCTGAAGGCTCCGAAGTTGAAGGTGCCAGGTATGGATGTTTCCGGCCCCAAAATAGAGGGCGACTTCAAAGGCCCCAGGGTGCAGGCAAACTTGGATGCACCTGACATCAACATTGAAGGCCCAGATGCTAAAGTCAAAGCACCATCGTTCGGCATTTCTGCCCCTCAGGTCTCCACCCCCGATGTGAACGTTAACTTGAAAGGACCAAAGTTAAAGGGTGATGTCTCCAGTGTGGGACTGGAAGGACCAGACATAGATCTGCAAGGTCCAGAATCGAAAATCAAGTTCCCCAAGTTTTCAATGCCCAAGATCGGCGTCCCTGGTGTGACAATGGAAGGCGGAGGAGCTGAGGTCCGTGCCCAGCTGCCTTCTCTTGAAGGAGGCTTGAGTGCACCTGATGTTAGTCTTGAAGGAACTGATGTGTCTCTGAAGGGGCCAAGAGTAGACTTGCCTTCAGTGAACCTCTCTATGCCCACAGTCTCTGGACCTGACCTTGACCTGAATTTGAAAGGACCAAGTTTGAAGGGAGACCTGGATGCCTCTGTTCCCAGCGTGAAGGTGCATGCCCCAGGGCTTGACCTCAGAGGTGTCGGTGGAAAGGTGAGGATGGAAGGAGATGGTGTGAAAATGCCGGGGATTGATGCCACAGCGCTAAACCTTGGCCTTGGCGCGCCGGACGTGACCCTGAAGGGACCAAGCCTGCAGGGAGACTTGGCTGCCTCTGGTGACATCAAATGCCCTAAGGTATCAGTAGGTGCCCCTGATCTCAGCTTGGAGGCACCTGAAAGTGGCATTAAACTTCCCAAAATGAAGCTGCCCCAGTTTGGCATCTCCACACCAGGGTCCGACTTGGACATCAGTGTCAAGGGGCCACAAGTGACCGGAGAACTAAAGGGGCCAGGTGTGGATGTGAACCTCGGAGGCCTGAACCTGAAAGGGCCTCAGATCTCTGGCCCTCAAATCTCAGCACCAGACATGGCCTTGAACTTGGAAGGACCAAAAATAAAAGGGAGCCTCGGGGCCACTGGTGAGGTGAAAGGCCCCGCTGTTGGAGGAGGCCTTCCGGGCATCAGCGTGCAGGGCCTCGAAGGAAACCTCCAGATGCCTGGGGTTAAGGCCTCTGGATGTGATGTGGAGCTGTCAGGTGTGAATGTGAAACTCCCAACAGGGCACATTTCTGGTCCTGAAATCAAAGGCGATCTGAAAGGTTCGGGAATAGGTTTCCAGGGTGCTGTTCCTGACGTTAGCGTGAAGGGGCCTTCATTTAATATGGCATCTCCTGAGGCAGATTTCAGTGTCAGCTTGAAGGGCCCGAAAATCAAAGGAGGTGTGGATGTATCAGGGGCTGTCAGCGCCCCGGCTGTCAGTCTGGGTGAAGGGCATATGAGTGTCAAAGGTTCTGGGGGTGAGTGGAAAGGACCCCAGGCCTCCTCCGCTCTCAACGTGGATGTGCCTAAGCTTGCCGGGGGACTTCATTTCTCAGGACCAAAGGTAGAAGGACTCCAGGGTCCTGGGCTGAGTGCGTCTGGGTCTCCAGGCCACTTGGAAAGCAGATCTGGAAAAGTAACATTCCCCAAAATGAAGATCCCCAAATTCACCTTCTCTGGCCGGGAGCTGGTTGGCAGAGAAGTGGGGGTGGATATTAACTTCCCGAAAGTGGAGGCCACTGTCCAGGCTGGTGCCGGAGAGGGCGAGTGGGAAGAGTCCGATGTAAAACTTAAAAAGTCCAAAATCAAAATGCCCAAGTTCAATTTTTCCAAACCTAAAGGGAAAGGTGGTGTCACTGGCTCACCGGAAGCATCCATTTCAGGGTCCAAAGGCGACCTGAAGAGCTCCAAGGCCAGCCTCGGTTCTCTGGAAGGAGAAGCAGAGGCTGAAACATCGTCGCCCAAAGGCAAATTCTCTTTGTTTAAAAGCAAGAAGCCGCGGCACCGCTCAAATTCCTTCAGTGACGAAAGGGAGCTGTCTGCGCCTTCCACCCCGACGGGGACTTTGGAGTTTGAAGGTGGGGAAGTGTCACTGGAAGGCGGGAAAGTCAAAGGGAAACCCGGAAAGCTGAAATTTGGTACCTTCGGTGGATTGGGGTCAAAGAGCAAAGGCCATTATGAGGTGACTGGGAGCGATGACGAGGCAGGCAAGTTACAGGGCAGTGGCGTGTCCCTGGCCTCTAAGAAGTCCCGACTGTCCTCTTCTTCTAGCAATGACAGCGGGACTAAGGTTGGCATCCAGCTTCCCGAGGTGGAACTAGTCCTTTCCAAGGAGTAGCAGGTCTCTGTGTGGGTGTACATATATGTATAAAAATACATCAGCCTTGGGTGTGTTTGTATATAAACTCCAAAGAGAAACACGCCGACAGACAGCCTCAGCATAATGCAAAGTTCTGGCCTCTGCCAGTAGCAAGCGCTGAAAAGCCAACCGCCCTTAAGCTCACGGCCGGCGCTTTACAGATAGGTAAAGAGTTCCAAGTTCGTCCAGCCCATGTGCAGAGTCAACAGTATTTGCCTTAAGATTTCAGGTTTTTTTTTTTTTTTTTTTGCATTGAACGCTGAGAGCTCCTGTTTACTAAGCAAGCTTCTGTGTTTATTATCCTCATTTTTACTGAACATTGTTAGCGTTGGGGCAATGGAAACCCACTTTTTCATTGTAATGACTTTTGGGGCTTTTGTTAGTAAGGGTGGGGTGGGGTGGAAGGCAGTAGGGAGGGTCAGACCTCCATTTCTCCTAAGATTGGATCTATTCAAACAGCAAACACCCAGTGAGGGCTGAGAGGAGCTGGCGGGCAGGGCAGGGCGTGTGGGTGTTTCTCGATCTCTGTAGCATCACTTCTCCCCCCCCACTCCCCCCCCCCCATGGGTGGCGGTCCCAGCCAGTTTGGTGCTCATGGTGAGAGGGAATTACAGTCTGTTTGCAGATTGGCCAACCCACCAGCTCCACGAGAGGGGCTTCCATTCTGTGTATCGTAGGAGAGATGTTTATCTTCATGACCGCCACATTCCTGAAACTAGTTCTGATATCTTTTAATAAAAGTTACCGTGATTAAGAAAATGTCCCGCACTTTAATGGCAAATTAATGGAGAATGTAAGGAAATTGATGCTGTCGAAGGCAAATAAAGCTGTTCATTAACCCTGATGTCTTGTGCCTTTGCATTCTGTGTTGGGAGTTCGAAGTCTGCACACCCAGCCCTGATGGTTCAGACTCAGTCCATCCAGCGGACTAGCTCGTTTCGTCAGTGGCTAATGAGGGAAGTCTCCGTTGCCTGATTCTCCGGGTGAGGCTGGCTGCGAGTAATCGAGAGAGGCTTGGCACATTGGCCGCCCGGGCTCCAGGACCCACCCACCCGCTTTCCATCCTCAGATACGAATACACGATTTAGAAATGGTTCTGAATGGGTCAGAAGATACCAATGGGGATGGAAAATAAGACCTACTGGGGTGGTAGAAAGGGCTCTCTCTGGCTCTGAGTTACAGGCCTGCCATCTCTTTCTTTATTCTTTATTTTTTTGTTTTTTTTAAATTTATTGATTTTTGAGAGACCAGAGAGGGACAGAGCACGAGCAGGGGAGGGGTAGAGAGAGAGGGAGACACAGAATCCGAAACAGGCTGCCGGCTCCAAGCTGTCGGCCCAGAGCCCGACGC